CCAGCCTCAGTGTATGTGGCTGGCGCTGTAACCACTGTGATATGGGTGCTGAGCCAGCAGTTTTCATTTTAAAAAGCCATTATTTACACATTGAATTTTGCTGTGAGCTAACTTTTTAGCTCATGTGAAGTTGTGGCCAAGCTGAAGTCTATTTAAAGCTTGGAGGCTTTGTACTTTTCTTTTTCTCTTTCTTTCTCTCTCTCCCTTTCTTTTTAAGGTAGGATCTCACTACGTTGCACAGGTTGGGCTCAAATTCCTAGGCTCAAGTGATATGCTTATCTTAGCCTCCTGAGCAGCTGGGATTATAAGCATCTGTCTCTGCTCCCAGCATTGTATTTTTCTTTCTTAGCTCTGGATTGATGTTCTTTTTTTTTTGGCCAGGGCTGGGTTTGAACCCACCACCTCTGGCATATGTGGCCTACTCCTTGAGCCACAGGCGCCACCCTGGATTGATGTTCTCACACTGAAATATAAAGTTAGATACTTCATTGCTCAAAGTGTGTCCTGTGCTAGTAGCTCCAAGGAAGAAAAAAGGTAAAATAAATCTGCACATGATAAACTAGGTAAATTATAGATATACAATGAAATTAGCATATCAGTACAGATTTGAGGTATCCTGAAATAATAAATTCACTTAACTTTAATACATTATTTCTCTAACAAATTATAATCACAGAATTCTTTTGATGAGTAATCTATAGCCAAGTCATACTCTTTCCTCCCTGAAAACCTGTCAAATGTCTAAAATCAGAAATTAGCCCTATGTGAATATTGGAATGGGATAGAATAGAAAAAAAGGTTCTAAAAAAAAGGAAGGCATTCTCAAGGGAGATTATGAAAAATTACAGCATATGTTTATTTCACAGTAAGTAACCTAGCATGCTGGATGGAGTGTAAGGTTCACACAAGATCACAGAAAAACTAGTATTGCACCTATTAGTCATGGATCCAACAGAAAAAAGATGGCACATTCAAATTAGGATAATGAGGTTATTTGCAAAAGGCCTTATTTTAAAAGTATGGACAGTATTAGAAACTGTAGGTGAGTAGGCAGACCCGCTACCACCTCATGCCCAAAAGGACAAGAGGGAACAGTGAACAAAATCTGGAAGGAACAAGGGCCCATGCACTTGACTGCTTCGAGAGGGGAGACAGCCAGACTCTTACTGGGAAAGAACTCATGGAGTAAATACTAGACCCTGTGTTCCTGTCTCCCTCTGATCTTCTGTCATGGCTGTTAAAACTGGAAGCTAAAGTGTACAGGAACCCTTTGATGTATTCTATAGAAGTCATCTTCCCAGGGCAAAGCAAAAAGGGTGGAGAAAGGTGCTAGACTTGGAGGGACAAATGGAAGGCAGCAGCATGAATAAGAAAAGTGTGGACAAGCTAGAAGTTCTTTAATGCTAGAGAAATAAATCCAGACTTAGATCAATTAGAAATGGAAGCAGTAGAGTTGGGGGCTGAGGTTTAGCATTAGAATTAGAGAGGACTAAACATTTTTGAGGATTGTGACCTCAGCAGTTTAAAAAGCAATGTAGGCAGTTTAGGTTATCACTTAGCTATGTGACCTTGGAAAAGTTAACCAACCTCTCTGTTCCTCAGTTTCCTCATTTGAAAAAAATATATAATAGTTATCTACTTTGTATTTATTTTTTATTATTAACAAGTTATTTGAAAAATACCTTAATCCTTTACAAACTCACTTGTATGACTTATTTTTTAATTATAGACATGTTCATTGGCTTATGTATTTTCCTTATGCTATTTTATAAGGTAACATTTTTCTCTACAACTGGGATATGAGCTCAGGACATTGCTTCTTTTTTTTCTATCAGAGGGTCCCAGGAGAAGTTATGGGGTGGGGACAGTTTACCTTATAAAACCACCACTCAACTCTGTTTACCTTTTGTTCTGCTCTTGGTGTATCTCCTACGAGTCTCTAGGATTCTTATGTTGTCTCTTTGCTGCTGAAGGCCCCATCCTGCAGCTCTAAACCCAGTGTTCCAGGCATGGACTTTTCTCTCCGATCTCCCAAACACCAAAATACAGTTGTCCCAGTTTCTGCTAATCTCTCCAACACTGAAACATGGCTGTCACTGTTTCATTCTCAGACAGCTTCAGCGTGTAAAGCTAATCTGATAATTTTAAGTCAGAGTTCTTACAGTTGTAGAGGAATTAAATGTGCTAATCTTCTGGGGTATTTATAGTTTTAACACAGGGGCTCCTGAACTTGGCAGTGTCTTAAACTGATCATTTTCCAACTGCTGAAAAGAAGGGGAGGAGGATGGTGAGAAGGCAAGATTCCCCTCCCCTTTTCTTCTTCCTATCACCCAGAAGCCTTGTACACCCCTGTAAAATTCCATTTGACCAAAGGTTTCTGAGGTATATGTACACAGGCAGTTATTTTTATTAGTAGTAGGATTTCAGACATTATAATGGAGATTTTGTCTAGGGAGGCTTTTTACCTGCCTATCCCAAAGTACTAGCAGAGAATGTTTGCACCAGATCTTCCCAATCCACTCTCACCTGGGCCTCATTAACACCAGGAAGCATTTCAGAAATGTGATGTAAGTATTCCTTTAAGGATGAGCCCTTGCTATTAACAAGATTTGCCTGTAGCTGGTGGTGACAGGTTCCCCTCAGAGAAAAAAGGCTTATAACAGGATGTGCTACTTGCAGACCACCCCAGAGCAGATCAGAAAAAAAAGAGCAAATGGCCACTTAAAAGACTGCAGTGAGCATGTCCTGCCAATACAGGTTGTCATTCCTTCTGTAGGATTTACTGATCCCCTTTATCTGAATGAGTTCTGCTCCCTTTCCCCCCCGTATTCCTCTTCAAATAAGAGGTTTATGTTACTTTCTCCTAAACTTCCTCTCCTCCATCCAAAAATTTTTGGATATACTAAGCTGCCACTACTCATCTCCCAAATAATCATGCTTCCAAGACCTGCTGATGGCTGTTCATTGGTTTCACAGACAACTGATGTCTGCAGCCTAGACTTTAAGTTCCAGCCTTGGGGAATTTGGTTGGGGAGGGACTCTTCAGTCTAGCCGTATTGGTCCTCAGTGACAGAGAACTCTCACAGGACTTCCATTACTTGACCTACAAATAGCCTTAATAATACAGCACTAAGTTTCTTCCCCATGTGTCTATCTTCAGGTGTCAATCTTAGGCAATTGTGTATTACTACTCTTGGCATTCTTAAAAGGAAGTGTGGTTCCAGGTACCACAGCTGTGACCTACTTAAATTCTACTACTTCATAGCCTTTTTGAGTGAGAGATTCAAGGAACAGAACTATTCCAGGCTTCTTACAAACAGGACACCTAGAGTGAGGTTTTTCCCCCCAGAAACTGGGGTCTCACTATGTT